AGAAATTAAGGTTATCAGAATTTAATATGGAATTTGACCACGTTTAAGAGATTGAAAACAGCCTAGGTGATTGAATAATTAGATTAATAAATAATGATACTTTTCTCCTATTTATATGACTTTTTTTTATAATAAACCACCGAAAAATTATAAAACTTTTGATTTATTCCACTTGTTAAGAAATAGCTGATGTGTTTCAAGAAGAAAAGAATAATATTCCAACATATGTAGCATGGAGAAATGGTTTTCTTATTCACTATAAAAGAGGGTTGTTACATATATCAGAAAGATATGTGGTTCATTTAATGCACTAATTCCATAGTAATAAGTTTGTCAGATATCCCAGAGTCAATAAAACTTTAAAGAAAATGCAAAGTACATTTGCTGGTCTAGTATTATTTTAAATATTAAGAAATAAGTTTTAAACTGATTAGTTGGTTACGAAATCAGTATTAGAAAGTTTAAGCCTAATATTAATCAAACATTATCAAAACCTAATTTATTTGGCATCATATCGTTAGATATTATTAGACCTAAGACATAAGAAAAGAATAATATATTTAAATGGCTATGGATTATTATTAACGGTTTATATTACTAGTGCCATTAAAATGACACCTACTTCCATTGATGAAATTTCTATGATGAGAAATACTTGGGTTCCTACATTTGGATGTCCTAGAAGTATTTTTACTGATGATTGTTCTATTTATATTAATCAAGAATTTCAAAAATATGTCACATAAGAATTACAAATAAAATTATATTACACAATTTCTTATTATCCTCAAGGAAATGTTATAATTAAAACTTTCATTAAAGCCTCGATTATTTATTTAAGATAATATACGAGGAAAAAGTTATATATATTGAAGAAATAATGAAAAATGACATATTGATATATAATAATACATCTTACGAAGCTTTAGGTTAAACATCATATTATATTTTGGTTGAGCTGTATATGTGTTGATTTTTAAAAGTTATTACCTAAAAATACTTTAGAAATAAGATCAATTTATTAAAACAACAAATAGAAACAAGCGCATGAATATTTAAATGATTGAAAAAAAAAACCACTAATAGCAACTAAAGATAATAATGTTGATAATATTATTTCATGCAAGTTATATTTTGAAAAAAATCGATTGAAACATTATATTGATAATAATCAATGTAAACCTCAATTGTCTTTATCACGTGAGATAACTAAAATTAAAAATGAAAGGTTAAAAGTAGCGCTTATAAGCTGTATGAAACAAAGAATTTGTCCCATTTTCTAGAATTAAATCATTGGGTAATAAAACTAAAAAAATGTACAAAACTCAAGAAATTTAGTACAAATCACTGAAAAGGATATGAAAAAGCTAGAACTTTACGTAAATTAGAACAAAAAAACTATCCTGATATTTATATAAGAGATATTACAGAACTATAATAATTAAATAAGAATGGAGACAATAATGTGAATAAAAAGACACAAGAAGACTCTGAATTGTAAGGCAACTCAGAGAGAATAAAATAAAATGTCATTATTTTTTTCAAGATTGTAGAATGTAATCTATGATATTATAGAGCTCTCTGTATAATATATAGATGAATAAATAGAATAAAAACATTTTATTTTGTGCATGTTAAATAGCTGGGATAATGTGGAATCATAAATTCGTACGTTAGAATAACTATAAAAAGTATGTACACAAAAAAAAAATTATATATATATTCTTCATTAAAAGTGAATACACTAAAAAAAAAAAAGAATTAAATAAATAATAATAATTTTTTTTTTATTTTTTCTGTGTTTATACAATTTAAAAAAAAGAATATCATGTATTTTTTTTTTTTTTTTTTGGCCTATGAAACTGACTTAATAAAAAAATATATTAAGATAATATTTTTTTTTATTCAAAAAAAAATATAACCTATAAATAAAATTTTAATTTTTTTTTCTGCGGGGGATTAGTGAATATATAAATAACTATAAAGTGTATATTTTATTTTATGTTAAAATGTAATATTGAGGAAGTCACATTATGAAGAGTTAATTAACTTTAGAAAAAAATAATTGTGTGGTAAATAATATTTAATGTTTATTAAAACAAAAATTTTTAGAATAAAATTTTAATTAAACAAAAATTAAATTAAGTAAAGTTTACATACCCTTTATCAATCTGTTTGTTCAATATTGGCACAGTTACTGAACAAACAGTTAATAAATCAAAGGTATGCTAAAGCAAACAACATTGATATTTAATAACAAAATATATGTAGTTATATTTGAAATGAATTATATATAGTCTATTTTTTTGAAGTTATCGCCAAAAATGTATCAAAAAAGAGAAGATTTTATTTAAATGATATAAAAAAATTAGTACATAAAAATCCAAATAAACTTTAAGATAAACGGATAAGTACATTTAAGGTTATTAATTAAGGTAACACTATTTCCTACTAGTTATCGTAATATGAACTTAAATCAATAAATCAATAAAATGGAAATAATCAATACAAACCATATTTGTTCTTCCCATGTAGAGTAACTAAAACTATAGATGAAAATTAAAAACGTTAACTATATGCAATAGGGATAATCTAAAATTATATCTGTATGAAACAAACTATTATATAACAAAACAAAGGAGATATATGAAACTTAAACAAAAAATTTAGTACGTATTACTGAAAGTAATGAGGAAAAACCAAATATTATGAAAAAAATGAAACCTGAAATCTACTTCAATATTTATGAAAGAAACAATTTTTCTTTTTATTATGTAAATAACAACAACAATAATAAGATAGATGAACGTATAAGAAAAGGATATGACATCAAAAAATAAGCAAAAAATAAAAAATTATCATGAAAATTTTTATCTTTGTCTTTTTGGCATAATCAATAAAATACATCATAGATCTATTTAAGAATTTATATAATGATAGTGGCCTTTTTTAAGGATCTGTTTGTTCATAAAAGATAATTATTAGACACTTATGGATATGTGTCTTTGATGACATGTACAACAAATTTTTGTCGGTATAGAAAAACCACAAAGTATGTTACAAAAAAAATTAATGTCTTCTTAAAGGTTTAAGAGGCATATTTATAAATTATGCATGGAATTAGTTATATAATTATATAAAAAATTAATTTTGCTTTTTTATCATTTTTTTTAAAAAAGTATAGTGTGATTATATTTTTTTCATAGTTTTATAAAAACTATAATATTTAGAATAAAAGTGTTTAATATATTGTAAATAAATAATCATATGAGAGGCATATGATAACCTACTTAAATTAATTTTATGATAAATAAAATAAGGGTAGTTTTCTCTACTTCCTCTTTATCAATTTTACTATTCAACGTATTATAAAAGTCTTTAAACAATAAGTTAATGAATCAGTAAAATATTTAAATAAACTAATTTTTAATCTGTGAAAAATTAATCTAAAAGAAAAACAAAAAGGAATTTGTTTCTATTGCTTTATTTTTATGTATTTTTTATAAGACTGTTAATAAAACCAACGTAATTTTATTATTTTATATAAGAATATTGTTTTACATAGTAGAAAAGTTTTATTAAAGAATTAATTTTTATTAAAAATAAGGCAAATTTTCTGTTAAATTAAGTGAATTCTTATAAAATACTAAATAAAATAATGTGTAAACTAGATGAAGTTCACCTATTTTTTACATAAATACATTTTTACAACAACAAAAATTAACAGAAACTACTTTAATGTTCTTTATTAATATGCTTTTTCAATATTTTACATAAATCAATGAATTCCCAATTAATAAATCATTACCTTATAAACATCTTTGAACAAACAATAAATCGATTACATTTTTATAACATGAAAAATGTTTCTATAAAAAAAAAATTATTTTATTTTTATTTTATTCTTCAAAGAAATATTTTACTTTTTCTAAGAATAAATTTGCATATACATTAAATATATATATAAATAAAATTTGTGTTAGCATTATTTTTAGACTTCACATCCCTAACGATTATCAACATATGAGAGTAATTATTATTATATGTTAATTTCCTATTAAGTTGTCTCTGTTGAGAAATGAACAAACAAATTAATAAAGAGCATGGAAAGAAATTTATACTAATTTTTTTACTTAAAAATAATTTAGCAATAAATATATTAGTTAAACTATATTGAAATGATAATATGCAAATACTTACGTTTCATGTATATTACAGTACATATTATAAGATAAATAAGTTATTTCATATAATATTTATTGCTTATTTACATTATTAAATATCTAAATACATTATATATCATTCAAATATAATTATTTACTTTACCTCCAATAAATATTTTATATAGGTAAAGAGTTTAAAGCTTTCTGTTAACTAACATCAGAATTAAGAAATTTTAATGAGATACAGCATTGTTTTTTTTTTTTTGCTGATACATATATCTCTGTATATAATGAATTTGATAACAAATTCTTACATTGTAAAAAACTAAAATATTAAGTTATAATATTTTTACTTAATGGGCACTTATATGTTAATTTTCTCTAAGTAATAATATATATTTAAGAGTAATATTAAGTTTAATATATGATACAAAATCAAATTTAATTTACAATATCACTATAAAAGTATATAATTTTATTAAATGAATTATAAACATTCTTTTATACTTTATATGAACATTATTCAATTTTATAATATAAATGCAATTTAATTAAACATAAATTTTCTATATATAAGAATATTTATTATATTATAAATGTTTCTTTATGTAGGCATAAATAGTATGTGAGAGAAAAAAAAAGTATATAATTATTTTATGTTTTTCTTTTCTTTATCCCTATTTTTTATGCAAGATATTCTACTATTTTGATTATTTTAAAGGACTTTTTCAATATTTATTTCATTTTTTTAAAAAATTTTTTTTTCTTCCTCTTATTTATATATTTTTTTTCTTTACACAAGTATATTACGCACTATCTTTCCAAATTATTACTGTTTTAATCAAAGTTTGCTGCAAACCATTCATTCCATTTACTTTTCAATTGATTTTCCCAAATACCTATATTTTCCATTTTTTTCTCCTTTACTTTTTTCCATTCTTCTTCCATTTGTTGCTTCCAATCAGGATTCTGATAATCTGCAAACCATTTTTCTCTTTGTTCTATTTTAAATGTTTCAAACATAATTCTATCTGTGTTTTTATAAATTGAACATTGTGTATGCATATCATTTCCCTCCTCAAACCATCTTCTCATGAGTGTACGATCATTTCCTTCCAATTTTAAAAGAACTGTTAACCATGAACTAAAAGATATATGATCCTCTTTTTTTCTTTGAAGACCTTCCAATTCTCTCCATTCATTATTCATTTTAGTCTCTAGATCCTCAAACTCGCTATTAAAATTTTCAATGTCGACATTTTGATCATTAGTCGGTGCTTCAACATTACCCATAGAATTTTCTTTTTCATTCTCTGATAATTTCCTTAGATAACTTAAATTAAATGTCGGCCTCAGGTTTTCCGTAGAATCTGCTTTATACATACACTGTCACAAATTATTAAAAAAAAGTTTAAAAAAAAATAATTTCTTTATTTTAATTGTATTTCAATACATGTATATATTTTGATAAAATATGAAATTTATACATTTATAAATAAGAGAAGCATTTTACTTGTAACAAAAAACATAATAAAGAAAAAGTAAGTGTTGTAAAAATCCTAGAAAATATAATATTTGTGTGATTTTTATTTTCAGATCTCCTTTTGTTATTAAAAGATGAAGAAATAAAATTTTTTTTTACATCCTTATTAATGGAAGATAAACTACTTGGAAGATTGGTGATTGAGACATTAATGTATCCCATGTTAATTCTTGTAATATAAAAATGAAAAATAAGTTTTTCAAAAGGGAATTTATTTTTTATTTTTGTTTTTGTGATATTTAAAATGTATGATTTTTATTTAATAAGATTAATATTTCAATTTTTTAAAAAAAAATAGTTAAACTTATAAAAAAGTTAATAAATATATAAAAAAATTTGTAGAAATAAAATTATAATTAAAAAATTATTTTTCAATAATTTTTCATTTAGAGTGTACTAATGTTAGTATCTTTATCACAAACAATTATATTAACAAATTAAATTAGATACATAAACAATAAAAAATTCTTCCAATATTGTTGATTTATCATTAGTTTTTTTTACTTTTTTTTGATAATAAAAAATATAAATATTAGAAAAATTATAATTTCTTTATATTTTTTTTGTTGATATAAGTTGTAATGTATATATAATTATTTATATACTTATTCTCATATACTTATAGGATGTAAAAAATGTTGAATATTTCGTTTTTATTTTTTTTAAATAATTTTAAAGTAAGAAAAGCATTAGATATTTTTCTTAATTTCTTTTTTTATTTATTTTTTCAAATATTGTTTATTCATAATTATAATTATTTAAAACCATAAAGAAAATATTTATTTTAAGTGATTGCGCCATTTTTAGAAAAATTAAATTATTCAAATTTTTTTTTAATGCATTTATTACTATATTTTTACTATAATGAACCATATACATAATAGCTATATGTTTCATAATACATTATATTATTAAAATTAGTTTTCAACTGTTATGCATTACTATATTTTAAAAATATTAGTAAGATATAGGATTAAAATATTTTTTAATATGTATTTTTGTTGTATAAAAAATTAATCAATAGTAATTAGTACTTATTTTGTTATTTATATCAAATAAATATATTGTATGCATTGCATTCAAATATTTGTAAGGATACTATTGAAGTTTTTAAATATATTTTTTTACTCTTCAATATAAAAAAAAAACTGAATAGAAGAAAAATCAAAGAGAAGAGAGAGTTTTCGTTGTATATTTGCTTATTTTAGCACATTATTAAAAAAAAAAAAAGAATTGAATGATAAATCATATTTTCATAAAATAATAAAAAAAATTAAAATGATTGAAAAAATATTTAACAGATCAATAAAAAAAAAAATATAAAAAGCAAATATTAATGAATTATTAAAGAAAAAAATAAATAATATGAGCATATAGCATGAGTAAATAAAAAGATAATTAAAAAACTTAAGCCACATTAAATTTTAATAAGTAAATAGGTAAAAATAAAATGTTTTCTTATATTGGTTTATTAATTTCCTATTCAGTGACTTTACTAGAGTACTGAAAAAACAAATTGATAGGGAATATGTAAAGTTGTCTCTATTAATTTAATGAATTTATATATAATTTTTAATGCTATAAGTAAACTATATTTATATAGTATATTTCGTTAAACATTTATTGTTTTCTAGAGAAATTTATTTACTTTAATAAAAATCCCATATTTTTATTAAAAATTTAAATCTTCATTTCTTATTGATCTTAATTAAGCATATTATATTTATAATTATATGAGTAATGTTTAACAATTCAAATACATTTCTCTCAAATTAATGAACACAAGTATTTAACATAAAGCAAATTAAATTATATAGATACTGTAAACACTAAAATTTTAGTATCGTAGTATAAAATTTTCTTATAAAAATTCAAACAAATATTTACTAAGAAACTTTTTAGTCAACTACTTTTCTATTCTTTTTTTGATAAAAAAAAATCACTTTTAAAAAAAAATAAAAATATTTATTTATTTAAATTACAAATAAAAAACAAAAAAATATATTATTTTTATTATTTTTTATTTATCCCTTGTATGGTTATTTATTTTCCATGCAACTATTTCTTTTTATTCTAAAAAAAGCTATTAATATCTTTTATTAATCATATAAGGGATACATGTATATAGGTCCAAATATTCTTCAATATAAAAATTTCATCACTAGCTATGGGAATTATTTTAATAACATTAGTTAACATGAAACAGACATTATTGTATATAGAAATCTGCATAAAATACTCTTCAATTACAAGTAATAGATTCCTTATTTATAAATTGTCTAATCAATAGCCACACTATAATTGAACAAAAGAATTAATAAGGAAAATGTAAGGAAAACTTCATAAAACAAAAATAAATTATTACATAAATTGTTTATTTATTTATTTTTTATATTAAATGTTAATCCCATTAGAGGCTTATTATTTATGCTAATTTATACTGTATTCATCTAATTGCCCACTTGGTTTACAAATAGTATTATCCATCTATTTTAAATAGTATACAAATAAATAAAAAGAGTTAAAGCATTTTTATTGTGCATGTTGAAATATTGGGAAAATGTGAACACATAAATTCATACGCTGAAAAAAAATACTTGCACTAAAGTATATTTTTTTTAAAAAAAAAAATATATTTGTCATTAAAGGAAATATTCTAGAAAAAAAGTTGGTATATTTTATTATTTTTTTTTTTTTGTGTTCTTTCAAATATATAAAAAAAAAATATATATTTATTTCTTTTTGATAATGATTTATTCTTATTATTATTTTTTTTTTTTTATTAGAGATTAAAAATGTAAGGAAAAACGTGTGAAAAAAATGAGATATTGTGTAAATTAACAACAATACAATTAACTGATGCAATAAACATTTAATATTAATTAATAAAAATTAATAATTAGATTAATATTTTAATTTAATAAAGATAAAATAAGTTTTCTCTACATATTCTTTATTCATTTGCTAATTCGACTCTGGCAAGGTCAATGAATTGACAATTAATAAATAATTTGGATATAATGACAGAAATACGGGAATCGATGCAAGCAAAATCCCCATTGTATCAACAAGTTCAAATAATAAAAGAAGAAATAAGCAATCTTGGATTAAAGAAATTTGAGAATACAATTTCCTTTTATAAATCTTATGTATTCCATGTGAAAGACAACAATAAAACAACTAAAACTAAACCAACTTAGTGAATTCCAAAAATGAAAAATCATGATTGATTATTTTAGAAGGTTTGCATATTTTGAAAATAAGATAAAAATGTAGATATTATCTAGAAAAGAAACATGTATAATACTTGAGGCTATGCTATCTTCAACTTAGGAGAAAATATAGTAGAAATAAATGTTAATGAAGATATAACTAATATATTGCAGCCTCAGATTGAATTAGAAAGATCTTTGTTTATTATTAAAAAAAAAAGACACAAATTAATGATAGAGATAATAAATTTAAGGGATAAACTCATAGAATATAGGCTAATGATTCTTTTGTTGCTCATTATGAGATATATGCTAAAAGTTGTTTATGCATAAATTAACCAAATGTTTTAGCAATTGTAGTCCTTTGAAAAATTCTAAGATTTATTCCAATTATTGTCAGAAGTACAATGAGGACAAATATACCTCATAATGAAACATTTGGGAATGTATAAAGAGTTTAAAAAAGTTGGAATCTTCAATGGAGAGTAAAATTAGGTTAAGGGAAATAGATATATATAAAAAAAATTATGGGACTAATAAAAAAGTGCATATTTATAGGAATAAAGTATTAAATCAATGTTTCTGAGACAGGAAGGAGGATCATCTTAAGTATTCTATTCATCGCAATAAAAGAAGTGATAATTGCAATATGATAGATCATTTGTAATCAATGTGTTAAAATAAAGTAACTAGAGAAAAAGATGAAATTGAAGACATGATAAAGAATTGAAGGTATGATATTATTTCAAGTTAATTAAAAACAAAATTGATATCAAAAAGATTATATTAATGCTAAAATATTTGGATAAACAACAAGAGAGCTTTGAAAATAGAAAAAAGAGCAAAAGAAAAAAAATACCATGACAATAAACCAAAAGAAGGAAATAAAAATCTTGTAAGAAAATGAGATATAATTAATAATATATGTGATTTATTTAACTTTTAATCAATGAATTTCCTAGAACATTGAGAAAACAGATTAATAAAGATCATGTAAATTTCCCTTACAAATTTGGTAAATTTAAGTATAATTTTAATCGTATAAACCATTAAATTATATTTATATAATTTACTTTATTGATTATTTATTATTTTTAAGAGGTATATATTTATTTTAATAAAAATCTCTATTTTTATTAAAATTTTAGATCACAGTTGATTATTAATTTTTAATTAATTGTATTTTACTTATAATGTTACAAATTTTTAGCAACTAAAGTCTATCATATTAAGTTTACAAACGTAAGTAATTAATCAAATATAAATTAAAAATATATAAATATTATAAACATGTAAGTTTTAATATGGTGGTTAATAAAAAATATTATTAACCTTTTTGAGAATAAAAAGTAATAGTTTTATGGAAAATAAATAATTCGTCATATAAAGGCTAGATAAAAAAAAAAAATTAGTTGTTAATTTTTTTTGTTTTTCTTTTTATAAATTTTAAATACATAAAAAAATGTATTTGTTTTTTTTTTAAAACAATGGAGTTGAAAAAAATTAAAAAGAGGAGCTATTGACTAAAAAGTTTCTTATAATATATTTTGTTTAAATTTATATACGTTTTATATTAAAAATAATAAAATTTTCAAGTTTGTAGTATTTGTATAATTTATTTTTGTGTTTTGTTAATTATTTTTGTTTATTAATATGAGAGAAATGAATTTGAATTTCTAAGAGTTACTCATAACATTATAAATAAAACATATGAAATTAGAAATTAATAATTTAAATTTTTCATAAAAATAGGAATTTTTATTAAAGTAAATAAATACCTCTTAAAATAATATATGCTCAATGAAGTAGACTATATATATTTATAAACGGTTTACTAATTTATATCATTAAAATCATACATAAATTCATTAAATTAGAAGGAAATCTACCTTTATCAATATGTTTTTTCAATGAACAATTAATAAAAGGAATTACTAACCTTTCTGAAGA